TTTATAATTTTAATACGAAAAAAATTAAATAAAAAATGATAAAAACAATCCACTGGGCTCGTCCGGGATTTGAACCCGGGACCTCTCGCACCCTAAGCGAGAATCATACCCCTAGACCAACGAGCCGTGTTATTGGATACTCACTTTACTAGAAATACCATGAACAATGGCGAATTTGCCGCTGAATTAAAGTGCTATCACTCTTATTATTTTATGATAATTTCTCAAAGTATAGTACTATGTGCTCAAGATGGCGGAGCAAGGCCAACAAGACTTTAACAGGAGTGCTTTAACGATGCGACATGAACGGGTAATCGTCAAATATTTTCACTAACGTACACTTAAAATTTTCTTTTAGTGATGCTTGAATTCTTCAAACACACTATCATACCTGTTTTCAACGATCTAGGCTTGGTACACGGGACAACGAGCAGAAAAGATCCCTGGAGGATTAGTGGGTGTTGTCGGTGATAATTGTAGGAGCTTAGATCTTTCTTACAATGAACTAACCTCTATCACTGCCGTCAAATACTTCCAAAGGTTACAAGAACTGGTTCTCGATAATAATAAACTTCGGGACTTGAGGACATTGCCCCATATATCGACATTAAGTACCCTCAGTTTGAACAACAACAAGGTTTGTTTTCTTTTTTTTTTATTTCTTTTCTTGTATTAGAAAGAATGTTTTGGTGGATTAAAAATATTATTCTCAGGACAGATAGAATTGCTTAATATGTGTGCATTAAAGAAGTTGAAGAATAAATGTTTTATCAGTGATTTTTTGGTTAATACGTTTTACATATTTCTTAGTTAGAGTTATTTACATGTGTATTGTTCAGTTATATCAAATTTCTGTAGACTGACGTCTAGTTGTCAGCAAAAATATTTACGTGACGTATTAAATAAAAGCATTTAACGATGTTCACTATCTCACTATCGTGAGAGAGATAGCGATACAAACGTCAATTAATGTTTTTTTAATTTCTGCGAAGTGCACGATTAAATTACTTTCATTGGTTTTAAATAAATAGAAATTATTAACAGAAAATGGACAATTGAATTTAGAAATGTATTAAAAAGTAATGCAGAAAATATAAATTTCTTTGAATTTGTGATTATATGATTTAGTTATTTGAATTGAAATATCAAAATAAAAGTGCATTTATTTATTTTGTTAAATCAGTTAATATGTAAGGTTTTTCTAAAGAATAAATGTTTCATTGATTACATTTAAGTTTTACTTTAAATTATTCGCTTCAATAAGTTTATGGGACGTTTTGAAGCGTCATCGGTATCTCGTTGGAAAACAGATTTATCTCGTCTTATGTATTTGCATGTTTTAAAGTACCTATTGGTAGCATTATCATTAAGTTGTTTTCATCTTGAATTACAGAATGAACTTCTTTCCTATTTTGTTTTTTTTCTTCTAATTTTTATTACATATGACTTTTTGTATGGTTCTTATTAGTTTTTACTTCATTCAACATTTTAACGTTTTAATAATTGATAAACAAGTTGTACAAAAAATACAAATGTACTCTTTTAAAATTTATGTGAAATTTAACAGAATGTTAATTTTTCGAACAAGTACAGCAAAGATTCATTTTAACAAATGAAGGACAAGCTATACGTTTGCATATACTATTATTTAGATGGAATTGTAATCGTACTTTGAATAGAAAGACTTCCATTGCATAACCAAATAAATAATCTTCATTCGTATAATTGTTCTGTAATTATTGTTGCAATTATCGTATTCCAAATTAACAAACATTATTAGCAGCTTTTATGTCAGATTTCAGTGTTAAAAAATTCGATAATTTCTGCTTAATAAATTGTTTCTGTTAACATTTCTCTGAAATAAAAATTTAATAGTGGTTTATTAGTGGAAAAATTAACATTCTCTAGCTTATCTGTTTAGTTTCATTTCACACAGTTTCAAGTTAAATAAACATTGTGTACCTGTTCTTACGCCATGTCGAATACTTCTATAATTATTTAACAAGGAATTTCATTTGCATATCATTCGTTTTTTATTTCTACTCGTCGCATATATGACCACCGTATTAGGATTGCGATAAATCTGTAAATACTCTTACATATTTACGTCATAATTATTCGTTGCAAGAGAGTAATGGGCGGTAACAATAGCTATATAATACCACGCATGTTCTTAACCTATATTGCTGGCTTGTAAATCTTCAACAATTGTGCTAATTGCTAAGCCGATGAACCGAAGGAGGAAAAAGCAAACATTTTCTTCAGGCGTAAAGTTAACTGTATTCGTTTCATTGGCAAACTTGTAAAGAAATAACTTAGGAGTTACTCATCTTGATTGAAATTCAAGACGCGCGTTCGTATTATACTTTTGGCGTCTTATGTCATCGGGAATTCGAATCGTTTCGATGGCAATCTTTCTTTCATTCACCTCGTATTTATCGTTTCGAATAAATCGCGATGACGCAATCATTGTTCATATTTGAATATTTTCATCAGGAAGAGGACATAACCAGGAAGGACGATGAAAAAGATATTTTACTCATTGAATAATTGTTATATAATAATTGTCATATAATAATACTTAATCAATTTCTTCAATTTTTTAAAATTTGTTTTTTACATTTGATTATACTCATTTCGTTTACAACACTATTGAAAACAGGTGTTCGTTAATATTTTGAAGTAATGAATGTATACCATTGATTGTGAAACGAAATATTAAATGATATTCGATCTATGCGAGATCGAAGCATTGCATTTTATGATTATGTAAATTGTTTCTTGCGTTGCAATGAACATTTCATTATTAATTTGCATGCTATGCTCCGCGCTTAAACATTTCTTTTCTGTTTTAATCTTTTGAACGAATAGCTACAAATAAATACTTAATAATACTGTGCTATTGAAATGTTAACAAATAGACAAGACTATGTTTAAAATTTGCAATTAAACAGTTTTTACTTGTTCGAAATTTATTAAGAAAGATGATCGAATAATGGTTAATTTTTCGTAATACATTTGTATATTACAAAGAATAACTTGTTAAATTGGAGAATTTGTAATTGTTTATAGTTTTATATGTTTATAGAATCATTTAACGGTATTAATTTAAAACTAAAATATTTCTCTACGGGATACTGAGCTATAATTAATTAGTAGAAGCAATAAAGGAATAACAATAAATTTGGTTTCTATTAACCTTCCTAATCGTTGGACGAAGAACAAATTTTTTATTATTATTGCTGAGGTTTAATTCATACGTTTAAAGTTTTAAAGAAATTATATTCAAAAAACGAAAAAACTTTGAGGGTTAATTTCACCTCTGCAAAGTGATTTTCCACTGAAAAACAATTATTCCTTGCATACTTCATTATGTTCTACTCATATAGAAAGTTTCATTAAAATCAAAATTTTCGAATTTGGTGACTTTCCTTGTAAGTCATATAACCTTCTTACCATTCTGTGTTTAAGAAATGTATCATTAAGTATAGAAATACATTACGACGTGAATTTACGGGATGAGCTAATAATTTATTTCAGTATTCAAATTCAAATAATTCATTATTATCATTTATTTCAACGAAAAACTGTTTAGATAACCGACATATACAGTGCGTTGAAAAGGATACAAGAATGTTGCCCAAACGTGGTGTACGTTAGTCTGCTAGGTAATCCAGGGTGCCCTGACCAGTTGACTAATCCAACCTTAACCGATGATGAGGATTACAATCGGTACAGATTATACGCAATACACGTGTTACCTTCAACTGTCCGTTTCCTCGATTCGCGTCTGATAACACGACAGGAACGAATGGACGCTAAAATACGAGGAAAATATTCGAAGACCGTAAAACTGGCTTCAGAATTATCATCGAAAGTCGTTTCGAACCCAGTCGAAGAGTTCGACGATATTTTTTTCAACATTCATTATACACCTTTGCCTAGGTCGTTACGCGATCCTCTTGACCACAAAGGTATAACTTTAATGTTCTGCTTTGTATATTACTTGATTGATTTCCAATTTTTTAAATGAGAGAATTCAATAAAATTCTGAAAAGAGAATCAGAAAGTTGAATAATGATAATGTATTTCTTATTTAGATAAATACTTATTGAGGAAAATGAATTAATTCTTGTTTGATAAAGTGGTAATATCTATTACATAACTGATAATATGGAAATAATTTAATCTCACTCAGTACAAAAGAGATAAGTGTGACACTTATGTAGTTAAATATGTCCACTAAATATTTTTGGGTACTTACATATGTTATTAGCAAATGTGTTTTTATAAAAACATAGATTGTGAAATAAGTGTACAAAGTATGTAATGCTTGTTAATGTCAAAGTATTAAGAAAAAATAATTATAACACATAGAAGTTTTTTAAGCATTTCTCAAAGATGGATTTTATCCATGTTTTACTTATAAAATATTCTGCAATATTATACTTTATTTTGTCTTAAAGCATTTAGTTTCTTAATTTTCGCAGATATGTAGTATGTATTTAATAACAAAATATTCGTTATACATTATTCAACTTTAGTTAGTCTTTTTCTTATTCACTGTACAGTATTTATTATTCCAGTATTTCAATTTAATCGAATCAATCTTATTGGTATGTGAATTAAAGCTACTGTTTCAATGATATTTTAACTAATATGTTTCTGAATTTAGGAGCGTTTGGGAAATGCAGGCGTCGATATTCCGGGAAAAACTCTGAAGGAAACCGGTTTATCTTAAATGACGATCTTTGAACACAGACTAAGTAAGCCGAAGTATCCCTTGGATATCAGTTCTGATCCTGTTTTTTTTCTTCAGTAAATGACGAAAACAACTATCAGGCTCGTAGAGTAAAGATTGATTGAAATAATGCACAAATATTTCTTACTCCTTCCATATTTTGTTTCTTTTTTACATAAAAATCTCATCTACGTGCCTGATGATGCATTTGTTTGAATTAGTACCTGCTAGATGTTAACTTTTTATACACACACATATATATATGTATATATTGAATAAAGTATAATTCATGACTAAACGTACAAAAGTTTTATTATCACGTACACTGATGAGTGACATATAAATAAATGTCTGTTTCTCTGTTTCGTTTTGATCGGTCGAACGGTTCGATTCTACTGTCACGTGATTTTTTTTTCGACACCGTCTCGAACGGAAACAAACAACGCGTGTGACGCGAATTTTAACACTCTGTTCTTTCTTCCTGTCATTGACTTTATTATCATAATTTAATGTTATTGGTCCTTAAACGTACACAACATAGTCTCGCAACAAATCCGATTTTTCTCGACAAACCGTGAACGACCACAGTACATCCAACCGAAACCCTCTGCTACGGGCGTATTGGCAATTTTTCCTAATAATCGACTCCTTGACACGCGTTTACGCGAGAGCATATGTCGAAGGCAGTTTAATGGTTTCGATTGTTAACCCTGTATTTAGGAAGAGTCTTACAGATAAGTAGATAATTCGGTTACATTATACTTGCCTATATGCAATAACCGGGTACCCGGTATTGTAATAATTAAGTACGATTACGCCAGCCTTTCAGTTCGTTCTAGATATAATTAATACTCGAGTATTGATATTCCTAGAAGGAAGTTTCATGAATTAGTGTTTCGCAATTATTCCAGATAATTATAAGTACATCCCGTATTCGTACGCTGTAGTATGAAACACTGATTTTTATATTGAGATTTTCAATCCGTTGATTGTAATTGATCCAAAGTCCCGTGGCCTACCGTATATTGTATAATACTACGTAAATGTATAAATATAACATTTTTATGAATATATTTCTAAAATACTAGGAACTGGTCATATTTAATTCCTTAAATACACCGTTCCATCATTCTGGCAATGCTCAACGTAAGAAATCGTTTCGAGTATTGTACACACTGGAAGCATCTTTCTCTCTAAGAAAGGAAAGTGTCCACAATGCAAGCTATGTTCCAAACGTTGATGTTGTTCTTGAAACGGTATAACGTAAAATATACTTGAAAAAATATATATTTCGTTTATTTTTTAATCTTTAAAAGGAAGATTGTTAAAATTATATCATATTTTTGTGAGCGATGAATATTATTAAAAAAGATCCGTACGTTTGGAACGAAGCTGTATCATCGAAATTATATACTATTTAATGTGTTTGGCCACGAAGAATGCATGGTAGATACTCATTGACCGCTGCTGTGCTCTACTCCCATTTGGAAGAATGGGAGCGTGGTGAGTATATATGATTTAAGTGTAAGTCTTCTCTCTATTTTCAATCAATACTGAGATTTAAAAAACTGAAAAAGATATTCCAATTACTTTAACAATAAAAAAAAATATATGTATAGTCAACGTTTCCATCTCATGGGTTATTAGCGGCACTACTGCTGCTGGTTCGGTGTCTCTTAACATATTCTTATACACCTTTGTTACGAGCCATCAGAGACTGATTCCACTGGTTTCTTTTTCCAGCAGTCCAATAACGTTTATCTACTACCACCACCTATGTTTTCTTCGAAGTTACAATTACTCGTATACTTGGTTTGTTTGACGTTAAAAATAACTCCCAGTGTGTCTACTGTTACACATGCAAATATAAAAATTTACTTTCTGCTTCGATATTAATTTTACTCATCAAAGGATGATCAAATATCTATCATATTACCAAAATATAAAATTTAGGAATCCAAATGTGTATACATATATCCCTGTGTCCAGCACACTTCTCTTCCTCCAAGGAGGAGAACGAACAAGCATCCGCTGTTGCCCTACGTGCACAGTACAGCGGTCAATGCTTTTTTGTCTCAATAGTATACGCAATGATCATCTCGTCTCGTGACTGGACGGATGCTCGTTAAAAAATTTTGCGAAACATTATTCGACAAAATGAGCGAGACATGCTTTTTCACGGTATTGCACGAATTTTACGCGTCGAACTTCGCAAATCGATGTTTCGTCGGCCACTCGATCAGGATTTGCTCTGTAAGTATAGTAGATACCACAGGAAAAAGAAAAAAGAAAGGAGAGAAAAGGTAACGAACGAAAGTAAAAGAGCGAATGAACAAAAAAGGATACAGCGATACAAAAAAAAAAAAATCACTTAAAGAAAACCATGTATCGTACGATCTTTCATACAGCAATTCGAAAACGTAATTAGAAACAGAAAGCAAACGTAAACTACAGATTAGAACTCTAATTATCTGCTACTACGATCATGTACAAATGGTCATAAACTAATTTCAGAACCAAATACTCGGAAATCCTTCGGAGGTCCTTCGAGCAAGTACTCGCTAAGATCATTTTCAGTACCGTGTCCTTGAGAATTTAGACTGTGCCCTATAAACAGGATACGACGTGTTCGCGTCGTTCCCAAAGGCACTGATTTTCTTTTTCGAAAGTCGCGTTTTCGGAACTATCCGACGTGTAGCACGTTTTTACGGCTACGTATATACACGATACGTATGTATTTAAGTTAAACTAGACCGAAGCGTTTCGAGCTTCGTTGAGACGGAGACCTCTCGTGGTTCACGAACGAACGTGTCACTTAAGTACAAAAGAAATCACTGTGAGACGACATCGGATGCCTAGGAGGTGATGTTCTTTCCATGATTATGCAGATTCGGCCTCAAGGTCACGGCACCCTCAACCCAGAAGTTAGGCCTCTCGAGCATGTTCTGCCAAAGCGATAGCTCACGACCAGTTGCATCCATCCAATCTACTGGTTTCCCGTAGTGTTTTCCTGGAATGTTTCATTAAGTCGACTTAATTCACTGCTCGAATTGAAGATCTTATTTTCAAGTCGTTATGTTGTATTCATAGATAGAAATTAAAACAGATCGTTTGTCTGTGTACTGTACTTATAGCAATTGTCCATATTGAAGGGGCGAACATCGCCCTAAAAAATGAAGCGGTAAACATACTTGGCCTAATATCTTGAAAATGTTTACTACCACCAACTTTCACGACGATTTTCACCTCTTCACTGTGGATAATTGCCGATATAAAAGAATACGTGCCGAATATTCTTTGAGTACTACCATGCACCAAAGTCTCAACAAAATCAGTGTCAAAGTGTCACGTTCATTGTACAAAATTATGATTATATTTTAGTATTCTACAAAATTAAATAATATATTGATGTTGTAATGTTTAAAAATATTGTACCAGAATACAATTATTTGTCATAAGTTTTGGTATTTAAGTAATCCAAATAACTGGATTTTCATTGTTATCAATATTGTGTAAGTTAACAAAGCGTTCGAGCATTTCTTATTTCTTGTACTTTTATGAAATCCTAAGGTAGTAAAGATGACGTTTAAAAATTGTTTCCACAAGGGAATAAAGAACACAATGCTAAATGCTAAATTTTCAGGTACAAATTTCATAATACACAATAAGAACTTTACCTAAAACAATATGTCTTGTGACAAGAATGTAGCATTAAGACGAATAAATTTATTTACGGAAATATGTATATACCTGTGCCAAGATTAAATCGAACACCACCTAGAAATTCGTTGCTAGCGATACGATCGTGGTCCCAGACTGTTAATTCTAGTCCACGTTCTGCCAGTTCTTGCAGACTCACGTCTTTATAAATGAAAGTGTGACCCCATACTGGTGAACCGCCAGATCTGCGAACCACTCCAGTCTTTTGTTTCCCTGAACGACCTTTGTCAGGCAGTAAGTAACTGTAAGTAATAAAAATTAGTATAAATGTATATATTGTGTATAAAAATTCAAACTTCTTCATTTTATTGCTATTTCACTTCTGAAATTCTGAACAATAATTTTTAAAGTATGCTTTAAAAATATCTTCCTTTTTCTATACTGTTCTTTTATCATTTTTAACGTCACACAAAGCTTTTCTTATTTCATCGAGCATATTATAAAAGCAAGTAATACAAATTTGACATTTAACATTTTAAATTGATATTCTTTTACTTTTCCAACGTTTACTTAGGATTAGTAAAAGAAAATTATTCAATTAAGTTTGAAAATTTGAATACTAGCAATTTCAATTAATGTTACACACTTTGATTATGAGTTTTAATACTCGTCGTGTCTATGTTAAACTGTATACTTAAAGCAGAGAAAGTTACAGCTATAACTTTGATTTATCTAATGTTCTTTTTTTGTTATAAATTGCAAAATTTTTGAATTGTAACTTTACCATACGATATTTTGTGTATTATTTGTTAACGATTCGATACGATATCACAGGAAAAAGAAGCTTGCCTATATAAAGAAAATACCTTTTGCAGAATGGATCACATGTTCCTGAATTCTTTGCCCTGGTTTGTAAATTTCTAGCTTCCTTTACGAGCACGTGCAACGCGCCGCGACTCCAATTCTTCTTCGACTTGGAAACACCACGATCCGATCCTATTTCGCGATCTCGCTCCTGTTGCGTTGGGTCCGGTGGTACAAATTTCAGGCCGACAATCACCTCACCCTTATACGCAACGGGGTCGTCGAACGGTTCTGTCTAAAATGTTAAATTACTCTAATTGTACCAGACAAATTTTCGAGAAAAGAAATTTAATTAATTTTTATTATTGATCATTCATTTTTAAGAACATGGAAAAAACTGTTCGGAAAAACATTATTATTCGTTTCTGAGAGTACATGAAATTAGCTTAAATGTTTTTACATCATAGTAACTTGTACTTGCTAACATTTAGGTAAGTAGTTTCTTTTTTTTTTTGGAAAATAAATAGGTAACAGATATTACTCACTTTGTAAAACTCACGAAATGAATATAGCGTATCTGGTTAATTTACGAAAAAAAAAACATAATCAAAGAAGAAACGAATCGTTTCGTACGAATATAGAAATTGCCGACAAAGTTAAGTGCATGTATATGCATATTTTCATACGAGCTATTTAGTAAATAACTGTCTAATATGTATACTGTGAAGTAGTAAAAACTACTGGAGGTTTTTCACAGAGATTCTGATTGTTGTACATGCAGATGCATCGTAAAACAGTGCAATCAGCAGCATGATCTGCTGGCAAGAACAGCACGTATCCTGTATAAAACTACTTTCTTTATTCATGCTGTTGCTCTATTGCTTGAATTTGGATTTTAAACAGACGGACGTGAATAAATTGTCAATTGGTGTAAGTAAATAGGTCGTGCACAATATCGCTTTCCTACCGCGAAGTAAGTACGTTATTTAACTTTATTAACGTAATAGATAAAAACAAATCAAACTAAGCAATAATTATGTGCTGGGAGAATAATTGAGTCTGTATGAAGACTTACTTTCTCCGGCCAGTTCTTGGTTGCGCACTTATATCTAGAACGATTTATATTGTGTACAGTTGCTGAAGGATATACAGGGTGTCCCAGTTGTTTCGAATGAAACTTTGTCGGTATATTCTACGGGTGTAGGTAAGAAAAAAGTGTTATATAAACATAGGTTGTTTGAAGCTTTGTTAAAAAGTTATAACGAAAATACGACGGGAATGGTAGCGAACTTGCGGTTACTGTGATATAAGACAAAAATGGCGCTGGCAAAAGTTACATTCAACACCATTAAAGACCTCATGATCGTAAACGCAGCTTGCATAAACAGACTAGATGTACATATCGCTGATTTATTTCTATTCTGTATCGTAATAAGTGCACACCCGTTACAATTCCCTTCGTATTATCGTTATAACTGTTTAATAAAGCCTCGAACGATCTATGTTTATAGAATACTTTCCTTTTACTTACACCCATAGAACATACTGACAAAGTTTGATCCGAAAAAATTGAGACACCCGGTATAGAACGAGTCATATGTACGTATATTTAGCTGAAGTAAAAAAACGGCAGAATTCAAGTATTCACACCTTTAAGAACTATAATACTCAAAGTTGTATGCAATATCCTGTTTACTATTAGGGAATAAAAATTGCATTAAGTGTATGCAAGACGACTTTATTAATAGGAACTATCGTTGGTATTTTTTTAGAATTCACACGAGAAATAAAATGAAAAATATACAAGTGTTTAATTATTTATTGCATACTTTTCTACGGAAGTTCCATTTCGTCGACTAAATTATAATTGCAGTCGATTCCTAAAAGTGAGCCTTGCCAAGAATCGTCGATTATCAACGTACTTTTATTCGATTTATCGGGTGGTCAAATAAAATTCGAACCTTTTCTTTCAACACTTCTTCCGAACAGATTGTTTCGGTATTCCAAACACACGCGCATGTTCAATAGTTGGCTAATTATATGACTCGCCTCTTCCGCTAACGTGAAATATCTATTTTACCCTAGTTTATGCACCGGTGGCGTATTTTATCGTTAGACGAGCTATTGTGAACTTACTCGTTCTTGAAGCGGGTACCATTTCGGCGTGGGATCGTCGAAGATTTTGTTTTCCAGGGGCATTCGAACCTCGCCGAGAAAGTCGTTGCGTCCAAACATGTCTGAATGCCAAACCGTCAGCCACAGGGTTCTGGTCTCTAGGCCGCTCAGACTCATATGGAACTGAAATGTCGTGGTTCCGAACCATCCAAGCTCTAACTCTCATGCAGGAACAACGGAGAAACAGGCAACCAACACAATTGTGTGCAAAATTCATTTGCAAGGAGAATCTTACCTTCAACGTTTCGTTAAACTCCGGATTCAGCGTGTGTTTCTTCACCTTCGTTTTTCGTTTGCCGCTTTTCGATTTGTCCGGCAGTAAGTACACTTTCACGTACCTGATGGGATGATTCGTGTCAGAAAGTTGGTTTTTTGGTAAAGCGTACACACTGCATACTGGGATCACTCATATTTCAATTATTGTTCTCTTTAAAAACAGTTTTTATATTCATTTGGGAAATGTACAAGGTGTTGTGTATGTACCCCATCGTCCATAAGTATTTGGTCACTTCCATTGTACAAAGTATGATTCATATATTATTGTCAAATGTAACTTTTGTCGTTGTTTTTGTTTCACACACTCTAATACGAATTGCAAGACAATAATGAACTTAAAATAATGCAATCGCCACCACAGTCACCCGATTTAAATCCAATCGAGAAACTGTGGGACGAAATGGACCGAAAAGTGAAAGAAAAATGCCCAACATCTGAAAAACAGTTGCGGAAGTATCTACAAATCGCTTGGAAAGAAATTCAAGAAAATACATTTAAAAAATTGGTTGCTAGATTACCTCGAATTATTAATGCCGTTATTACCCAGCGTGGAGGATATATAGATGAACAAAATATTTGATCGTTTTCATCTATTTACGGGCAATATTTTTAATTTGCAATATATTATAACATTTCTGTACAATATAAAGTAGCAGTCAGTCTGCTTAGAAATATTTACATTGCAGCAAAGATATTAATATTTTAAACCAATTCCTCCAAGTGGCCAGATACATATGGACGGTAGTGTGGACCTATTTTCAAGGAAGTTTATGTACATGTTTGTGTTTAATAATTTGCGTAGTGTTTAATAACAGTGATTACATTTGACGCATCAGTGCGCAAAATACTTGGAAATTTATAGCCTTTCAGTCACAAATTCAAGATTATCGTCCTATAACGAAAGCACAATTGTTCACGAAAATGTAAACAGTATTCATTTCCCGTCTTTAAAAAATAGGAAAGATTTGAAAGATTAGTAGTAATAGGAGACTACCGAAGTTGAACAGTACTTAATTGCGTGTAATTTTCTAAAGACCTCAAGTACATGTACTACAAATTGAACAACAAATTTTCTCAGAAATTTACAAGAATGTATAATTGAAAATTTTCTTCAATTAAAAATACGAAAGTAACTTAGACAATACTGATCCCATTATACAGTCTTAATGTTGAAACGTTTGAATTTCTCACAGTAGTCATTTTTTTTTTTTCTAATTATTGCTAAGACAAATTTGCAAAAATGTTAACTTCGTTGCGAAGCATCGACAGAAACAGAAGAGAGAAAAAAAAAACAGTCTATCACGAACTGCAAATTACTAAGTAATTTGATTCTTTCTCTCTCTCTAATACGTATCTTTAGAAAAGAAATGTACTAACGTGTAGATAACTCCTACAAACTGGCAATAACTATTCGTAAGTAAGAAAATAATTAGTAGGTTGGGAGACACACGTGTTCGATAGCATTATATAGCAATAAATCATTCTTCACCAGTGACTCATGTTTTACTTACGGATCCGAACGTTTGCGCTTTACGTCAACCGGCGCTAGATTCTTGCATTTCGTTACGTGCACCTCGAATGTTAGGTGCTTGTAATCGTATTGCAAGGCGAATTCGACTTCTCCTGTGACGACGACCGAGCGACAGCACCGTCCCTCTCCAGCACCGCTATAAACTGACGCCATTGAATCTGACCGTGCCTGAAAAATTCACATCGGACATTTTTATATTCGTCGTTGGAGGGTATTTCAAGAGTTTTCAGTTAAGTGACAGATAATTGGACAGGTTCGAAAGGGGGGAAGTTAAACGTGGGAAAAATAATTTGAAAATGTAGGAAGGTACTTACAAGTTCTTGCGAACTTTCGTTTTCGAGGAAATTAAATTTGGAAATTACTGATTTCACGGTAAACGAAAGTTTCTGTTTATATCTGCATTTATTAATACTGAAAAGGTTATTCCTTGCTTTTTATCACTTTTACCGTTTCACCATAAACGGTTTGGTTAAATTGGACGCAGCAAGGAGTGCGAGAATCTTTTTGAAGTAGTTTCCTTAATGTTAACATTTACAAATGCTAGGTAAATTTTTATTAATATTTAAACTAACATTAGGGGACATTTTAGTAGATTTATTCGAAATTAATTGTATACTTTTAACGAACAGTGTGCAATAATATACTTTAACCCTCTACCGTCGAGACACCGTTTTTGGGACGCAAAGCCCGATACGGAGTCGACGAAACTCCTCAACTTCCGGTTAGTTTATACATAAATATAGAACACTTCCGACAATTTTTCTTACTAATTTACCTTTATCACACACTTTCCTAATGAACGTTATAGAATAGAGTGATTGGCTGTATTAATTTCATTTGAATATAATAACGTCGAGTTCTAAATAGAATGGAAGAAAAGAAAAACGGTAGAATCAGCGGAGTCACCAAGACTCCGTCTCGACAGTAGAGGGTTAAGGGAGTAGTTTCTTTTTTTATTTATTTTGCATCAATTAATAGTAAGTATTATACTTCTCAGGATACATGATTTAAAACAATGAATATCCCTTTGAACAGCTTCTTTACAATTAGTTTCAAGCTAACTTTAAAATAAAAAAATGTTATAGATAAAAATTCCGTAACTTTAAATACACAATTACGTTAAGTTGTATTTTTATTAACAAAATGACGAGAAATCTATACCAATCATTTCTTTAAATATTTTGTAAATATACATACGCAGATTTCAATAAAAACATTTCTTCCCATTACTTCACTTTGTGTCATTATTATTACCTATACGCTGTGTTTAATAAATACGTGTACTCACTCCAAGACTTGATAAAGATGCACGCGTTGCAAGATGCCCAGAATGCAAACCCGAATCCATATCGTCTACATCGATCACTGTATGACTAGAGCCTGCTCGTGATCCAGCGCCGATGATCGGAGTACTGCATGCTTCTGACAAGCTACTTCCATCATCTGTGCACAAAATATGAATAATACAACGTGACACATTAGCCGAGAAAAAATTAGAAGAATATCTATGTTTCTAAGATTAACTCTACCGGGGCATTTAAATTTTACACATACACCGACGGTCATAAATATTAGGACACCCTATATGTTCGTACAGAATGTGTCACGTGATTTAAATCACATTTCTTCGTCAGATTTAGTAGCATACATCAGCAAACATTTGATATTATAAGAAATATTTTCTTCAATCTTAATCATTTTATAGTGTTTAGGTTTACTTTATACTCGGTGAGTGTCCTAACAAACGAGAATGTATTTGTGCAATGCGCATGTGCTTTATTCTTAATTTTATAAAAAAAGAAGGGAGAGGAGAAGAGAAACAAAATTCACACAAATTACGAAAAGAGATTAATTAACCCTTTCACTGCTGTTAGCGCGAATAGGCGTTTTGAAAATGCGCTCAGGCGTTTCAAATGTTTACTGTTGTTTTTAGTATATTTTCACCTTAATTTTACGCACTTCCACCTTAATTTAATCAAAGAAATTTAAAACCGTCAAAACGCGATTCTAAGAAGTTGCGATTCTAATTGAACATCTATCGCCTGTCAATTACGGAAATCTGTCGCAGTGGAAGGGTTAACATTTCAAAATTATTTCATTTCTTCAGATGTAAATAATACATCCTGAGATTAACGTAACGAATTGAACGAAAAGTAAAGCAAATCACAAGAAAGTATACTAAAACCATATTCGTCTACTTTACGCTAACATTTCACTAATTCACAAAATTGATATATAATTAATCTATTACTGTTTCGCATCAAGACACACGTATAAACTGACTTGCTTCATTCCCAGAACTATTCTCACAACTCCTCTGTTGGCTCTTGATTCGACACTTGGGAAATAACTCCGTATGAGAAGACTTCAATTTGTCTGATTTTTCAAATCGACACTTTTGGGATATTTCCGAAACTGAAGAATCACGCTCGTTATCAGATTCCTCCCACTCGTTACGAACACTCTTCTTGTCCGTTTTAGAATGCATCGAAAAGCTGTTCACTATACGTTTGATGCCAAATAAAGAAGTGCTCGACGTGAAGGTTTTATCTTCCGAATCTACCGTGCTGATCGTCGACGTGCTGTTTTCTAATTCTCCGGAGTCTCTGTAATTGCTTCGTCTTATCAACAGACAACTGTCATCGGTGTTCATCGGCACTTCGTTCTTCGTCAAAGATTCACTGGACGCCATATGTTTCATTTCCATTTGACCCTTCGTTTCGAAATCGTGGCCAACTTTATTCTGCATATCGTCCCGGTGCAAGATCATTTTGCCCGATAATTCTTCCTCGACCTGGTCGTTGTTCTTAGGATAGCAGGATACGAAACAACAATCTAGGAACAAGTTGGAAGTCAAACGTTGCGCCAGTTTTCCCACAGTCCAAGACCGATTTGGCGCGTTGAAAGTCGAGTAACCGGTACCCTCTGTCATTTTCACGCGCGCTTTTCCCGTTTCTGCGCTTCCTCGGACACGTTGGGAACTGTTTCACAAGCTGTTCGTTTCTTGCAACACTTTCTTCTGCTTCGGGAAGCCAGCGGAAATTCGCTCGTTTCACTTCGATAGCCCCGGACAGAGGAGACTCTTCGGTTCGAGGCGGTGTTTCATGAAAATTCTTGCGTTTCTTCCTCCGTCCCTCTTCGATCGTCCGTTCGACTTCCTCGACAGTTCCCAACAATAGGAGATTTCGTTAATTCGAGGACGATAATTACAGTTTCCTGCTTAACGACGAAATTCGGTGGTAAATTCGACGAACGTAACGACGCGTGTTTGCGATCAACCCTTTTGTAATTTATGGAAAATTGTAACGCTAGATGCAAAGCGACACGAAACGTTCCCTCTACTGACAACTTTGTTTGTACCATGGTCGTTTCTGATAATGTGCCGAGGGGAACGAGCATGGCGATAAAACTGATTTTTGCTTCCTGTCTTCCGGTGCAAACTGCGTGGGGGGGCTCTCTCACGTTCAAGGTTTCGTTTCTATAGAATTACGATAAGAGATAACATTTAAATCATGCTTGAAAATTCCTTAGAGAAATATTGTTCGCACTGATTGATTTTATTATTACATATTCATTTTTCCCTGTAATTTTTGTGAGAATTAATTTGTTAGCAGTGAACGATGCGATACTGTGTTATTGATTTCCTTTTCTAAAACGAAGTTGATCCTATTATACAGGGTCGACCATCTTCTCTGGCTATGGTGGTACAGGAAAATTTTTATACGTAATTTAAATAGCTTCAAAGGGACAATTTCTTTTTTATGGTAAAAATAGCGAAAAATGAAAGTAAGTTCCACGTTTGATTCAAAATTTTAAAGTCATATTTTTATGCATGTTTAAATACATACCAATATCTGCTACGACATGCAAGAAAAACATAGATGACCTTGAAAAAAGCGGAAAAAATGGCATTTATAAAAGTATTTTACTTCCAATTGTGTGTACAAATTTTCTCGTACTATCACAACTAAAAATGATAGTTAGGTGTACACTCTGTATTATTAATTACTACATGATAGATAGGTCACACAAGTAGAAATGTAATTTTCAACAAAAGTCATTAATGGGTGTCTTTCTAAAACTTTTTCCGCTTTGATGGATAAAACAAGTTAAAAGTTGTCTTGTATTCTGTACGTTAAATAAATCGTAGGAAATGTAACTTTAAAGAATTGTGAAGTTCATGACAATGGAATATTAATGAATGTTATAAATAAATATGAGAAAGTAAAACTAATTGGAATAAATTGACCGTAAGAGATTATGCATGCTATCGTATGCATACTCGGTGGAAGAGCTATAGTGCGGTCGTAAATTACGACGCTAAGCGAAAACATCGATTGATCTATATACGGTAGCTGCACGCAGGGCCATGCGCGTCTTTTCGAAGCCCCCAAATCTGAAGTAACAAGCGCTAAACGAAAAACGTGAACCCTCAGACAGTCAACAGAATCGCGCCTACCTTTTTTTCTGTGTTTATCACGTTTTTAACAGGTCGGTTGCCACGTGACACACCGTCTTTCCAACTGTGCAGAGAGATACGCTGGCGTGTCACACTGCACTTCATTTTACATTGTAATTTTCGTATGTATAAAATTGTATAAAATGTTTTTACGGTTTCACGTCACGTCAAGAGATAGGAAGAATCATAGACTAAATGAAGATAAGTTGTTGAGAAGACGTACTATTGTTTGACATGGCACTTGTGGAAAGAAATATGGAAATTGCTCCAACGGCAGCCAAAGTGTTAAATATACTATAATGGAAGGAAGCGGTGCCAAGTTGACTTCGTACGATCCTGAACGAAGACACGAGCTCCTTATCTCGCCCGAAACGGATGTTTTGGCGATTTAAATTCATATTCTTTTATGTCTGGCTAATTTTACGATCTCACCATAATTCTTCCACTAACAATAAGTACTTTATAATTCCGCGGTATTCAAGTGAATCTGTGGCACCTGCACAGCGGTGCGTAAAGCCACATGTGCGTGAACACACCCACGCAATCGGTAAACATCGTTTCCGATACGCCGTGTACATCGGCCATGTGCATATACCGGGTGTCCTAATTTTTTTTCGACCAAACTTCGCCAGTATGTTCTACGGGTATAGGGAAGGGGAAAATGTTATATGAACATAGGTCGTTTGAAGCTTTATTGAAGAGTTATGACGAAAATACGAAGGGAACGATAACGGGTGTGCGGTTGTTACGATATAAAATCAGTGATACGTGCTTCTAGTCTGTTTATGCGGGTTGTGTTTACGATCTGAGGTCGTTGAAAGTTTCGAATGTAGCTGTTGCCAGCGCCATTTTTGTCTTGTATCATAGCAACCGCAACTTCGTTACCATTTTCTTCGTATTTCGTATTGTTGTTGTAACTTTCTAACAAAGCTTCAAACCACCTATGTTTGTATAATATTTTTTGCTTCTTTATAATACTCACAGATCATACTGACGAGGTTTGATCGGAAAAACTTGGACACCCTGTATACGTGGGCGAAAGTCTAGCCTAGAGTCCTATATAATTGACATCGGAACGTCGTTTTCAATCGGGCATCGATGCGAGTTGATGAGTTTCCAAGAGAAACTTTTTATGTACTCGTTTCGGAAGCACGGTTTTACATGAGATTTCGTGACAGAAGAGCGTTCGATTACTTTTTCTGCGTGTACAGAGTTCGTTTGAATTCGGACGAGAAATGCACCATTTTAACTCTTTAATTTCATGCGATTGAAAAGTTCCATATCTCGAAGACAGTTCAGAAGTGATAAATTAACATTTGTGAGAAAGATTGATTCACGTTGTTAAATTTCTAACAAAACATTTGCTTAATAAATTGTTCTCGAAGCACCAATTTGTCGACCTTTCTTTATGTTAGCAAGACTAATTGCAAAATTTTTATGCTAATGGGGCTTAAGGTTATTAAGTGCTCGTGGCTTGTCACACTTTCTTTACTCTGCAACCAGCAATCTACATTAATTGCGACAAAGTGCACCACGTTAAACGTACGTTCACATCTCTCATCATAATAAATGACCGCCCTGAACTGATTTTTTAGCGGTATAGATAATTGTTGGAAAGGTACAGACCGTGTTCAAATTAATATTATGAATACGAATAGGTACATATTATGAAACACGACGATGTGGCTTTTCTAGAACTTTCATCAGGTAAACAACAGTACATTCATCAAGAACTATACATGATTTCTAGGTACATGTTTTTGTAACGTACCTATAACACTTGATTAACGCATGTAGTTACGATTAATATCAATGACTTGCTTCTTTCGAGATGTTTTTCACTCTTTTTTGGTCTAACAGATCATTCGAACAAGCAAGATATTTCTATTGACCATTTTAGTTATATTATTACCAGTTTAAAAAACATCGATTTTTAATATACCGATACTTTACAACGCTGATTAACCCTTTCACGTATGATTTC